TATGTTGTTAGTTTCTTCTTATGATTATAACAATAAAAATAAGGTGATTCAACTCCTGAGGTTTTCTGTACACTGTGAAGTCTAAAACATCAGCTTTTGAAATCAAATTTTATAGTTTTAAAAACTAAGGACAACTCAAATTAGAAATAATATTATGAATGTTTTAAATCATGAAGCTTTATGAGATAACCATATTATTAGTCATTCTCTTATGTGTATGTACACTTGGCTCTTATGGGTCATTTCATGCAAAGACATCCATTGATTAAAAACAAAATATTGTTATAGACACCAGCATAAAATATTGTTATATAACACCAGCACACACTGTCACACTTTTCTAGCATGAATCTAGAGTCCAAATAGGACCCATATTTATGAAGATACAGATTTAAAACTTAAACTAAAAGCCATCTTGATAAAGGACAACAGGAAAGGTTGAGGTTTATTTTTTGCGTTCAGGGCTTACTTTTGATTTTAGGACTTCAGGAAGTGAAGGGAAGTGATCTTCATAAGAACCATTTTGAAGAAAATATTTTTTAAATCGAATTGTGGACTGCAGGAGCCTTAAATTTTCTGTAAAGGAGGGAAAAGAAGTTACGTTATGTGAATTGCAAAATCATTTAGGAAACAAATTTGAAAGATACCTTTATCCTAATTTATTGCTTTTCTAAAATAATAGTCTAGTTCAATCTAAACAGAAGAAGAGAGAAAATGTACCTTTTTCTTTTTGAACAATGGAGACTACAGAGTTCACTATTTTAGAAATATTCAGGTATCCTGCTTAGAGACAAAATATTTCTAGGGAAGTTGCTAAGCAGTTTTGGCTCTCTGTGAACTGTTTTTGTTTACGACTTTTAGATCTGCTATTAAGTTGGAGTGTTTGGGGAGAATAGGCTGTATAATCACTGTGACACAAACATGCCCCAGCAACCTCGATTAATTCATGCCTGCTAAACAGAGACTACGTGTAATTATTTGTTATGCTATTTGCTTGCCATTAAGTCTCAAAAATGTCTTTGGTGTAGGAAAAGGGAAAACCTATTTCCTATAAAATGTGAGAACATAGATATTTTCTCTTTAAAGGAAAAGAAAAGAAACCACATTTGATTAAATGCAATTTTTATGGTTGCACATGTAGGCAGAAAACTGAAAATAAAGTGTGTAAATGTAGGAAGTAAAAAATAGTCTGCCACAAAAATTCCTTTGTTTATGTAATTTACATCTGCTTTTGGAAGTCACTATTCCCCTCCTCCTCCTCCCCCTCCTCCTTCTCCTCCTCCTTCTTTTTACAATTGAGATTATCAAGGGCACAAAAAATGTTATGAAGAGTTGAGTGAATCCTTAAGGACTATGGACCTTTGGAAAGTTTGTACTAGCAGCAGCAAGAGAAGAATGTAATAATCTGATTACATATTCCCTTCATATACCAAACCACCAAAGTAAACTGATGCATATGGAAACAAGATGTGTAAATTCTCTTTCCTTTTTAAGCAAACATCTTGAAAGACTTACTACTTCAGAACAGAATTGGAAAACTTGAGCAGTGCTTTGACTGTTAAGAGAAATATTACCTTGTGATCCCCTGGCCAAGTTGTCAGTGACATTTCTCACACATGCCAAGTAAGGAATATAAGGACTATCTGCTGATATATTTAAGAGGGCATCTTCAAAGTTTTCTAGTAGTAGGAGCCTATAGAATTGGAAAAGAATATGTAAATTAAGCATATAGAAATAAAGCAAAGCCATTTTGCTGAGATCATTTGAGTCCCTGGTGTTGGCATGGGTTCTCTGAGCACTTACCTTTCCCATTAGCATAATCAGCATATTTAATTATTTTAACATTCAATCATAAGTGATGTAAGATAATTTTAGGCACATTTATGGGGGAAAATCTCACTGGGCTAGGGGTGCCTGATAAAATACATAACTCCTAGTTAAACTTGAATTTCGTAAAAATAATAAATAGTTTTCCTTTTTTAAAAAAATATTTTTTCTTTGATTTCAGAGAGGAAAGGAGAGGGGGAGAGAGAGATAGAAACATCAATGATGAGAGAGAATCACTGATCAGCTGCCTCCTGCACACCCCCCACAGGATCGAGCCTGCAACCCAGGCATAGGCCCTGACCAGGAATTGAACCATGAACTCCTGGTTCACAGGTTGATGCTCTACCACTGACAATCATGGGCTAGACATAATTTTTCAACAAAAGTATGTCCTGTGTGTGTTTTTCATATTTTTTTATATTTTTATATATTTTTTATCTTTTCCCTCTAAGCCTTGCAACCCCACACCATGCCTCAGTTTCTTCTCTTTTCCAATGAGAGGTAAGGGGTTAGATAATCTACTATATCATTCCCAAAATAAATTCATTTCATTGTAACTAAAGAGAAAGAGAGGCATCCAATTAAACAGTATATGTTCCTTTTTTAAAATTATCTAATTCAACATGACAACAGTGTGGTGATTGCTGCGGGGAGGTGGAGAGAGAGGTGGAGGAAGATAAAGAAAGGATAAATGGTGATGGAAGGAGACTTGATTTGGGGTGATGAGCATACAATACAGTGTACAGATGATGTGTTGTGGAATTGTGCACCTGAGACCTGTATAATTTTATTAACCAGTGTCATTCCAATAAACTCAATAAAAAAGAAAAAAAGATAAGGAAAAATGTAAAGAAACAACCAATTTAGTGTTCCCAAATTAACCACTCTATGGTTTCTTTTTGACTGGCATATGAGAACATAGTCTTATATTTGGGGGGTATATGTATGTAAATGAATAAATGTGTGAGTTATGCATGCTCTTCACTTCAACCATGAGGCTGTTTATTTATTTTATAACTTCTTCCCTTAATGCCTATTGTTGAATTTTGTTATGGTAGAGATAGAATAAATGTCAATGAATGCTTTGGGGCCATCTACTGTGAATCAAACTGTGCAATACACAATTTAACTACTTTTGTCAGATGTGTTTAACTTTGATTTTCAAATACTAAGGGAAGAGACTTATTCTGGCATAGCTAGGAAACATGTAAGGAAATGTATATGTTAACATTAAAGAAGTTTCAGAGTGCTTAGATGCGGATTAACAACACTGGGTCCTTGAGGGACTTTAAAAAAAATCTATGTCAAGAAAAGTCTCTAATGTGGCAGTCAGAGCACAGCTAATTGATCAGATGGCTGATCCTCATTTCACTATAATCCATAAACTTCATATAAAAAACAACAGCAACCATCCCCAAAAGCTCTTGCTTTTGTTTAGACATATTTTTTGAACAGAGGCTCTCTCTTAGATATTGCCTTTCTTTCTTTTGTGTTTGTCTTCTTTTCTGTCACAGTTATTATAGCATAAAGCCATTCCCATCCCGGTGCAGTGCTCAATAGCAAAATATTGGCCTAACCTTCTAAATGGAGTGGCATAGAAGATTCTCATGATAAAATTTCAAGCTTAAAATAAAAAAAATGCTGCACTAGAAGTGACCTTGAAATATTATCTAAGCCATTCTCTTAGTTTCCTAAAGAACATTTGATGGACAAGATTGTTGAGATTGGATTTAATATACTCCCCAAATTAAGATTCCATATCTATGTGCCACTGTCCTGGCATAAACATCCAATTATTTTTTCAAACAATTTAATATATGGATCCTTTCTATAGAGTTCTATCTACTTCCCAAGCATTCTTGTAAGAAGATGAGCTTGCAGATGTGTGCATGAATGAGTGCACAACACACACACACACATGCACACACACAAACAAACAAACACAACAATAAAAACAATATTCTTAGAACAAAAATAATGAGGAGGAAGAAGATCGAAGAAAAAAATATTTTTGAGCAGTTTTCTTTAGAAAATTCTGGACCAAGAAAGCCCCCAAAATAAAAAATCCCTTCATTTTATCAATCTCAACAAGAACCATCTTAAAAGTATTGAATTCTTCCTAACAAACTGTCAGATAGCTGTCAGCAGCTAACTATGTTTACTGTAGCATTTGCAGGTCTTAAGTGCGAGCATTCTCAATGCTATGGATGCCTCGAGGCTCTGATAAAGATACCTGGCCTCAGCAATAACCATTCCGTTGTCTCAATTCAAGGCTTTTTAAAAAATTATTTTGATGGCTATAAAACCATCTGGAACATGGCATCCTAACAAGGGGGAATGTCCCAGGGCTGCTTGATTGCTCTGGGAAAAGCATCTGATTCAGCTACTTTAGAGGTGAAGAGAGGTGGAAACAGAAATAGGAGATGGTTTATGGAAGAATTTTGCCTAGAATTACCCAGAGTTGGAGAACTTCTTGTTCAATAATAGAAATATTATAAACAACTAAATGCATTTTATTTTAGAAAAACATTAATGGTTACAAATAAGTCCTACTATTTGTTATTATTTGTACAAATTTCCATTAGCATAGAAATATATCCTTTGGGACTGAAATAAATAAATTCAATAATATTATTTATCAAGCCTAAACGACCTTTACATAGCAGGTCATCTAGTCTCTAAATTTGCCCTGAGCTAGGAATTTACTTCAATCAGCTTCAACAGGCAACTGCTTGTATTTCCTACAATAATTGTTACAGTCATTACAGGGAGCTACTTATATTAATGGTCCTTAGCAGCCAAGGTTGTTGCTATCATTTCCCCTGCCTATATCTGGGACGGTATATTTGCATGCCTCAATAAGAGTCCAACATTAACTACCTACAAACAGGTTTGCTCCCGGAATATTACTGAAGCAAATACATTTTTGCATTACCTTGACTGGGCATAAGAAATACTTTTGTTTTTAAAACTGAAATAAATAGTAATGTAAAAAAATTGGAAGGTTATACATTTTTCATGATGAAAAATCTCAAAAAGGGTTGGAAATTGAACCTTCATCTAGATTTCCTCATAGACATAAGACAACCAATCCAGATAGGACACATTGGATCTAGTTATGTAATCTTAGAATTGAAATGAGATCCCAATAAGTTTCAACATTAGTACACTTCAACTATACCCTTTTTTTAAATTAATCAAGAATTGACTTTCCTATTCCATAGTCTTACATGCATGACTGAATTGTGCCTATGAATTATTTTGATTGATCCAGCCAGCTTTCCTACCAATTTAGAAAAAAAAAACCAACAAACCAACAGAAAAAGACTTACTGTGCAGCCAGGCTGCTTGGAGAAAGTGACTGGGCTTCTTCTTCATTCCATGTATGCGTTGTATTATCAGAGGTGCCTACAGTAATAACATTTATATAGGTCAATATTTAACATGTTCCCTTACAGTAGTTATATTTCTTAACAAATATCTTCTCAGGTCAAATTAAAGGGGGAAAAATGCAGAAAATCTGCAGAATTTTTCTCCAAAGGATTTTACAAGTAATGTCTATGTTCTTTTTGTTAAAAGAAAAAAAAAACATTTAGGATATTTATAGGAAATAGATAACTACCAATCAAAATAATCCTAATGGTCAAGTATATGCATTTATAACAAATTATTTCTTTGTGCATCAAACCATTTATATTATTTTATCCTAAGACCTGAATGCATAGATGGTTCTTGAATAGTGTAATGCAGATTGACTACCATGTGCCTTGTTAATCAAATGAAGCCAATTACAGTCATGGATCACTGGGTTTTCTTTGCCTAAGTTGTCTAGAACTTAGGAACATCTGTCATCACTAATCGACATTTTTCATCTTTCAAAAAGTAGCCTCTAACTTCAATTGAATGCAGCTGTGAATGCAAATTGGCCAATTTAAACAGAATTCTGAGTGGTTTCAAATAATATGAAGGTTTGGAGTGCGGAAGGTAATCACTAAGTTGGGTCTGTCGGAAGCCATATGTGAAGATCTAATTTAACGTTGAGAATTGCCCCCAGAAGTCAAATAGGTTGCTGATTCAGCTTGCCGCATAATGTTGTATCATTAAACAGTAAGTGTGCAATAGCATTCACATTGAAAATTGAAAGTGAAAATATTTGAAATGGTTACTGCATAAATAAAAACATCATAAATCCAGCACTTTCATTCAGCCCCTTTAGGAAAACACTATCACTTATTATAGGCTTCTCTTCTGTCACTACTTATTCCTTATAAATAATTCATTATGTTTCAGTGCTGTCATTTTAACACTGGCCTAATCGTTTTCAATGGAAAATTTTATTACCAGCACTTATAGTTCTACCATTGTCTCTAGTTGGAGTGTCCTATGGCCTTCTGAAAAGGTCCTAGTGCACAACAGTGCACTCATCCATGCGTTCCCAGTGCTGATCACATGGTCTATTTAAGTTAGAACGTGTGTAAAAGAGTACCACAGAATTAAAGACCTCCTTGTCTATCTCTGCATCAGTCATGTTTGAGTAATGTTTGCACCATCCCTAGTCACTGGCAGAGTGTCTTTTTCAGTTTTCCTGTTCAGCAGAGCAGAGTTTTCTTACATTCGGCTCAAGGTGCAACTGAATGTTATTGCTCTAATGATAGCAACGCATCAGTGGGCTAAAGGACCATGAATAAAGATATGCAGAATAAATAAACCTAATTAATAATGGTAAAACATTATTTATTGGCATCTATATAGAGAAGAGTCAAGGATAGGACTCTGTTGAGATTTACACTTTTGTAATGTAAAAGTATATAAAGCCATTTTTCTAAGACAATATAGTTCTCACTTCAAACTCTAAGGTGATACTGATCATGTTCAGTGGCATTTGTATAATATGTTGCATGGAGTTTCTCTTCCTCATCAGGCTACTAAAATGAGTACCTAATAGAATTAACTTTGTACATCAATGATAAACTTGGCCCTGATGTTAGTAGGCACTTTTCCCTCTGGCCACTTTTGCTTCTGGACTATAATGTATCCTGATAAAAATGCTACACTAAATAGGCTTTAACAAAGTGGGAAATGTTACAGACCTTTAAAAAGTGAGATTTTACTGTTTTTAATTTATAGAATTAGACATATTTTTTAAATGGTGCCCATAGACATACAAAGTAATCTAGTGCACAGGTAACCTATTTTACCAGTAAAAATGACTTTCTATTTAAAGATATAATCCTATCTAATAAAGAGGGAATATGCAAATTGACTGTCACTCCATCACAAAGATGGCAGTGCCCATAGTCATAAGATGGTGGCACCCAATCCCCTCAGCCCCACTGGAGTCCCCCAATCCTTTCAGCCCAGCTGGGGGGTGCGGCAGGTGCACAGTGTGGCCAGACCCGCCCTCAGCCCTCCAGCTGCCCAGGGCTGGCCCGAGGCACAGACAAGTCTTGGATGTCGGCTGCCCAGCCTACCCCTAAGGAGTAGACAAGCCTAGGATGGTGGCTGCCCAGCCACCCATGGCCGCCTGAGGCTCAGGTAACCAGGGCCCGCTGAGGCTTGCGCTGCTGGCAGTGGCAGCAGCAGAGGTGTGATGGGGGCATCGCCATCCCCTGATCACCGGGTCGCCTCTCACCCCTGAGGGCTCCTGGACTGTGAGAGGAAGCAGGCCAGGCTGAAGCAGCCCCCTCCAGTGCATGAATTTTCATGTACCGGGGCCTCTAGTTTCATATAATTTACTACTTTGCAAAAAAGCAAACTTCAGCAAGTCACAAAGGTAATCTTTGCTCTCAAAATTCATTATTTATAAGTGGAAATGCTAAATACTAAACTCCAAAGCAGGGAGCCTTGCTTTGGCAGAGCTGAGGACTAGATTCCTTAACACAGGAAGTTAGGAGACAAACTTCCCCCAAGTGTCTATGAGCATCTCCATATTTTCATGGTTGCTGAGTAGGCTCCTGAAGAAACCTTGAAGTATGTTCATAATCAAGGTTGAATCAGACATAGACATGGGGAGGGGAGAAGATTGTAGAAACCAGTGTGAGGAGAAGAATGGGGGGGACGGCTGTGGGGAAATGTATCATGCGGAAGGAATCTGGAACAATGAATCAAACTCCATCAGTGACTGAAAGTGGAGCCAGTCTGAGGTTTGGTGGTGGCAGGTCCTTGCATGAGATATCCTGGAATCAAGTGTGTATATGTCCATATGTCCCAGTGAGTAAACAGGAGTGAGGCCATCTAGCAAAGAGCTCAAGGGACCCGGCTTTGGACATAGATCCAGGATTTAGTTTTACTTGCTGAATGTATCACATAGGCGAAGTGCCCCACCTCCCTTTGCCTCAGTTTCTTTGTCTGTAAAAATGGGTTAATAACTGTGTTTCATGGAGTTGTCTTGATGATAAAAGGGACTTAAGATAACAAAGCACTTACCATTGATACAAAAAGTACTCCCTTTTTATTGTCCTTCTTTGAATGAGTGATGTGAGATTTCCAAAACTCTATTAGCCCTGTCATACGTTAGAGAGGACCCGACAACTCCGCTATGAGATAGCACCCAACTCCAGCTTAACTGAAGGCAAAGCCAAGGGAGAAAATGTGTTCCCTTCACAAACATGGCTCAATGCCATGAAGAATGAGCCCGGTGTGGCCTGGCAATGTGGCAGGAGGCTGTACTGGGTGTTAGAGACCCCTGAGTTGTTGGTCGCTGGTTGAGCCCTCAGTGACAAGTTCAGGATTCCTGAAAGATTTCCTCAAATACCTAGAAGGATTTTTCAAAGTCCAGAAAGTTTCTACATAAGCAGGTAGGGACTTGGGCTTAATAACCTTTAGGGATTGACATTAAAACCGCTGCATTGAAGTTCTCAGACTGATGAAGTCACAAGGAGGAAATTAAAACAAATTTAATCATATCAAGTTTTCAAATAAAATATTTCTTTGATATATTTCCTTGTCATCTTGACCATCCAATGACATGTTTCAATACATGCAAAACTTATTACTATATGCATAGACATGGGACATGGCTATGCAAAATATTGGAATACTGAATTATACTGTTCACAGGATGAATGGTTTGCTGCCTCAGTTAATAAGAAGTGCTGCTTACTCCTCCGGCTTCTAAAGCACTGATGAGCTTTTGTCCTTTGTAAAACATTTTTTTTAATGTCATCTCTTTATATAATTACAAGGTGTGAGTCTGCAGGTGAAAAGGAAAAGAATGATAAGGAGACACTTGAAGTTCCCGAGTCTTTAAAATGCAAATACAAAAAAGAAATATGTAGGAAAGAAATGGTGTTTGTTAGTACACTGTCTGGTTTTCTGGCCTGGACTTTTTAAAAAGGGTAAGCCTTTTCCCAGCACCTCCATGTTTGTTAAGGCCTGGAATTTAACAAAAATCTTGAAAGCTAGTCATTAATTTTGTAATTGTGGATGTGCAAAATGCTCCAGACCAGCGGTTCTCAACCTGTGGGTCGCGACCCCTTTTGGAGTCGAACAACCTTTTCAG